TTTCCCTCCCCTCCAGCCGGTCCCTGCTGCTGGGCTGGGACAGCTCTCATCCAGCCCAGCTGGAGCCAGCCCTGGGGATGAGCTCATGTTATAGGGCGTGCTGTCCTCTTGCTGCCCCTGCTCTCAGCTCCATTCCTCTCCTGTGTTCCCCAAAGCACCACCTTTCCCCTCGGGACAGCCTGTGCCCACCCCTGCCCGCAGCGAGCGGGAGCATCAGCGATGTCCCCGGGTTGTGCACGCGTGCCCCGTTTATAGGTGACACGGGAGGGAAAGAGGGGGCGTCACGCTCAGCCGGGCAGCAGTCCTCCTCCGCCGTCTCACTTGGATTGCTGGCTCATAAAGCTGCAGCACAGCCTCGAGCTGCTCCATTAAGGGACAAATGTGGCTTTCCCTCTTCTTGGGGGAAAGGTCTGGAGGCCAGGACACTCGCTCCCTGCTGAAATAGAGGCTGTTCCTTCTCCCTCTGCTTGGCTCCAGCAAGTGCTGGGCATCCCAGTCCCAGGGCAGGCTGGAAGTGGTCGGAGCAGGGACAAAGAGAGGGCAGGCCACCACGGGACATCCTGCAGGTCAGGGAGCACCACTGGTCCTGCAGCAGAAGGGTTGTGGGAGTCCCTTTCTGCTTCCTAAAACCTTGGGCAAATGCTTGGGTTTTCAGCCAGCGGCACCAGCCTAGATCATATATGTGCTATTTTCCTACTGCTACCCTGGGTGAGAAGCCCATTTACACCCCTTTGTGACAGATTTCCCCAGCAGTCCAGGTTGCCGATCCCACAACTGGAGCACCCTGGAGCACTCCCTTCCTGCCCACAAGACCCCTTCCGAGCTCCACATCCTCTCGGGATAATCCCTTACTGCTTAGGCTGGAAATTCCTGAGAGCTGGAGAACTCGCCTTATTAGTTGCAGGCACATGGCCATCCGAAGGACTGTATGATTTTAATAACCATCCCAGCGCTCAGGCATGTGGCTTTAACAGCCCTCAGCAGCCCATCTTTCCACAGGGGTAATAGGAAGCTTTGGAGACATTGACAAAAACAAGCTTGCACTCAGCAAAATGAAAAAAAAAAAAAAAAAAAAAAAAAAGAAATGAAAAGAAAGAAAAAACAAACCAAAATAAAAATCCCCCTTCAAAACCTGTTTCAAGTCAATGAAAATGTTTTGTTCAATTGTAAAACAAACAGTCCATTTGGTTTCGCAAGCATTCTTTTTTTTTTTTTTTTTTTTTTCCTGAAGCTTCCTAAGTGGGTTTGAATTAAACATAGGCAAATTTTGACTGAAAACATCATTTTAGAGCAAAACAAAAAAGATCCAATAAGCTTCACTGCAAAGCCATTGTAACAAGATGTTTCAACCTCTGTGATTTTTATTTATTTATTTATTTATTTTTCGATACAATACGATCTGCCATTTAATGACTCATCTTGGTTGACCTGAAACTGCACTTTTTGTCAAACAATCTGCTTGTCAGGAAAGTTTCCCCCGGTGTCACCAGGCGCTTCCTCGCCTGCTGGCTGTGCCCGCTGCCGAGGCCGCCTTCGCCCGGCTTGCTGTGCCTGGGGGTGCAGCGCCATGTCAGGCACACAGAAAAGCCAGAATTTCTGGTTTCCATAAAGGAATATGGAGAATATTATCCAGTGAGATTTGAAACTTTGGTGGGAAAGTTGCCAGCGTGCAGCCTTTTCAAAGAAACTCCTGTATCTCATATTGCTGAAAACTGGGAAGTCCTGTGGGCTTAGGGAAGGGGAGCCCTGGGGGGCGCGGGGGTGTTTGTGATGGACATGGGGATAGGGGCAGAGCGGGGGAAAACCTTCTGAAGGGTTTCTTTTCTATGAGAATAAGTCATAATTAATGCTATCGAGTGGCAGAAAGGCAGCTCCGGGTAACGTGAGAGGGGCCTTATCTCTCCCCATCACGTGGCCGTCTGCGCTCCTGCCCCAGGTGTAAGCAGGACGCGTAGGAAGCGTGGGGAGCGGGATGGCATCGAGGGGCTCGGCCCCTTTGCATCAGGGCTGGCTCCAGGCACCCAGCCACGCAGGGCTGAGCACCAGGGGGAAGGCAGGTGCTGGGGGACCCTCAGGGACCCGTGCCTGGGCACCCCAGGGCTGTGCTCCCTGGCAGGGTGCCCGCTGGTGCCCGGGTGAGTGATGCCACCAACAGCTGTGAAGGCGCCCGTGGCTCTCCGTGCCTTCATTTGTGCCTCAGCCGCCTTCTGGGGCCGGGCCGGCCGTGGCAGCCGGTTACCACGTCTCTGAGGCATGAGCTCATAGTGTTACTTAGACAATTTGTTAAATGGAAGCTGATTAGAGGTTTCCCTGCCTGGGTCCCGGGAACCATATGTCATTGTTTATTTACACTTTTTGGCCACGCTCGCTTTCTTTTTCTCTCCTCCGGCAGTCGGATCACAAAGCCACACGATGCCACTTCGCTCGGAGGCTTTGATGCGTCCTCCCTGGCTGCGGCTTGTCCCGGTGTCAGCCCCAGCACAGCGGGGCCACGGGGCTGCGGCACCGCCTGGACCCCAGCCAGCGGGGCAGGAGGCAGCGGGTGCCATCAAACACAGCTCCGGGGACAATTTTTGGCTGCGTAGCTTTAAAATAAATAAATAAATAAATAAATATTAAAGTTCCTAGAATTAGTGGACTGGAAAATATTCATCGAAATGTCTGTGTGGTGGAAAGCCCCTATGATCATAATTACCTTTTTCTGTAAGGATCCTTGCATAGCTGAAATTGTTTCGTTTCTGAACAGCAACGATAAAAAACCACTTTAGGTTTTATTTCCCTACTTTGCCTTCCCTTGGGAAAAAAGTAGGAGAGAGAGATTCCACGCATGCACATAGGCAGACGCATTCACACGCACACAAAAGCCATAACAAAACTCGAACAAACAAAAGCCTCAAAACTTGTTTGCTTTATTTTTGGGGGCTGAAAAAAATGTGAACTTCTCAGAGAGAAGAAAATGTGACTTGCTTGTTTTGTCTTTGTGGCTTGCCCTGTTTTCATGGAATTTTCTTTCCAGTTTGCAGCCATCGCTAGTTCTTGAATTTCTCCTATTAAGGCTAACGCTAACAGCCGCCCTAAGCCACTGCCCCCTGAAGGAAGCACCGAGCAGGACGGAGGTGCCTAGAAGCAGGCAGCAGGTCTGCTCACCTCTCCGTGGCACAAACAGCCACCGGGACACCCCAAAATCCCCTCTCCTCTGCTGTTCCCAACCCCACAGCATCCCCAGCGCTCTCTGCCTGGCTCCACAGCTCTTTGCTCCCAGGAGGATTGGGTTGTCACATTCCTGTCCCCTATTTTGTGCAAGAAGAGGGTTTTCTGAGTGCTGACTGCCCCCTGTCTCACTTGGGGGATTTTCCTCCTCTCCCCCTTTCCCCCCACATCTCGTGGGCTGCCCTGTCTCATCGTCAGGATGGGTCCCTCAGCCTGGCCTGCATCTCGCCCCCTCTGATCTTTCCCCAGCACAAAGCACATCATCAAAAGCAAAAAGAGCTTAAAGACGAAACCAAAATAAATATATGTATAAGGTGTGATGGATGGTCCCTCCTCGGAAATTCATCTTCGGGAGAGACAGAAACTCACCAGCAGCCCGAGCAGCGGGACCAGACGGGGGGGAGCACTCCCTGGTGTGCACTGTGTGCCAAAGCAATGTGGGGTGCTGGCTGCCCCCTGCCCATGCAGGTGCCCTGCCCCACGCCCCTGGCCCATGCCAATTGCTCTCACTCCTGTTCCATCCATGATATCCATGGGAAATGAGCTGGCAATGCAAACCGTGGTTAAAAAGTCCCCAGCGATCGCTGTTCCCGAGCCCTCTCTCCGCCGTACACCTCTCCTGTCAGAGCACGGGGGCCCCCGAGGCCAGAGCTGACTTTATTTTCCTGTCTCACGCAGCAACAAACAGACTGTGGATGCGCGGCGAATACCAAACGGCACGCAGATAAGGCAGCTGTCTGGGGGAGTCACGGCACGAGGCTCCGAAAGAGGGAAAGGGCAGCGGTGGGGAGAGGATGTAGAAGCTGGAGATGTCTGAATTGGATGAGCTTGACACATTTCCGAGGGGCTGCGACCCAGGCAGCGCGTCCCATGGCACACGTCCTTCCTGCATGGAGCTGGGGCTGTGCTGTGTGGGCAGGCGGACCTGGAGGGGTTTGCACACCACAAAACAGGAGCTGCAGGAGGGTTTGGTGCTCTGTGTGTAGGGCAAGGGAGGGAGGCCAAGTGCAGAGAGCCCAGGGAGAGCTGCATGGAGAGGAGGAGGAGGAGCAGGGGGAGGAAGGCCATCGGGACGGTTTAGCAGATGCGCTCACCTGCTGGGACTGTCTGTGGGCAGCACCTCGGTGGGACTGCTGAGGAAGCTCAGCTCTGCACGGGCAAGATGCTCATCTCAGGGCTTTTTGGTCCATGCCTGTCAGCCAGGAGGACCGTGCTGGGGACATGAAGCCAGGAGGGAGAAATTGGTGTCAGGAGTGTGGGGCTCGCCCTGGGGAAGGACGTGGCCAATGCACACTGGGGTGGTGGAGCCAGGAGAGCAAGAAGTGTAACGCCACTGACCTTCAGCTAGCTTAAAGGGAGTCAGCAAAAAAAAAGGGAGGGGAATGATTTAGAAAGGTAGAGGAATGTGTAATTAGAAAGATGGGACTGAGGGAAGGAAAACAGATGATAAATTTCAGGGAAATAATCCAACAGAGAGAGGCAGAGGAGTGAGAAGCTGTCATCTGCAGGAAGGGATGAGACCGTCTTCCTATGGCACTGAGAAAGGATTTTGAGATGCAAACACTGCAAACACGTATGGTAAAGGTGCAGCCCCTGCTGCTGGTTCCCTTGGGGAGCCCATTTCTGCCCCTGTCTCTGCCTCCTCAGGTTGGACAAGGCAGCGTGCCCTCACCTTCAGGCAGCTCGGACAAACCCCGCCTGGGCAGGGAGGTGGCAGAAAACGTCCCCGGTGCTTCTGAGCCCTCCTCAAGCTCCCTATCTTCTTTTGGAGAGAATCCCACACTAGTTTTGTGCCACGTCTTCACGGTTGTTTTCATTTATAGGCAATACAAATGTCCACCTTTGAAGTGTGCCCGTTTTATTTTCCTGCGCGTTGCTCCCTTACTTTATTGTATGCATTTATTTTTGTGTGTGGATCTGTGCTCTGGCCAGGCTGCCACTGGCCCACGGATCATAAGGCAAGCAGATCAGGTCTGCTTGGTTTTTGAAGCTGCTTCTGCACATATACTCAGTCATTTTTTCCCCAGTTGTAGGGTTCTGCACAAAGAGACCACAAAATCCCTGCTGGTACTTAGCAGAGAAAGCCCCCTTAGAAACCTCAGCCAAGAAACCCTAAAACACGGCAGCAGCACGGGGAAGGGGGGCTTGTCCCAGATTATGTCATTTGGGATGGGGAAAGTCAACTTCTCCACCACGTTACGTGGGCTCGTCCCTGCACCCCAGCCTGGGCACCAAGGGCTGCAGATTTCAGCACAGCCAGGTTTGGGGTGTGAAGTGCCTCATTCCTTCCCGGGGGGGCAGAAATCGAACCTTGCACCTTGCAGAAATCGAAACTCCACCAGGCATCGGGGCCCAGCCCAGCCTTCGGAGGGTGTTGGTCATCCTTCATCGGTGGGAGCAGCAGTAAATCTCGGCTGGTTCTCTCCAGGATTACACAGCCTGGGCTCCGAGCGTGTGGTTTGGCAGCCGGCAGTGGGTCGTGAGAGGAGCACTGCTGGGGCAGGCTGATCCCACCGCAGCTCCGCGGGCACCTTGACAAGAATCCCAACCTGGCCTCTTTCCTGACAGCTGCAGCAGGGAGAAGGATGCTCGGAAATGCTTTACGGCCTCGGCTGCTCCGGGTGAAGTCCAGAGCCTAATAGGATTAAAACGAGCTGAGGAAAGTGAGATTAGGTCGGCCTGATGCTTCTTGTGATGGCTGTGGTGTGAGCGGGGTAACCCCACTGCTGGGCTTTCTGTGCTGCAGGGCTGGGGCAAAGCACATCAGAGCTCGGCAGGAATCACAGGCGGAGGAGGCTGATTAGGTCACTCATCTCATCCCCTTACCAATTGGGCAGGAAATTATTTAACTGCTTTATTTATTTGTTTAGGAATGTACCTCGGCAGCAAAATCCCCCTGCAGCCAGCTCCGTGGGCTGCTGAGCATCTCGCAGAGCAATGGGTGGAAGTCCCGCTCCTCGCTCCTAAACAAAGGCCTCAAAAAGCATCTCAGGGCTGCCCTCGGGCTCGGGGCCGTGGATGCAGGGCCTGGAGGTCAGATCCTGCCCCGTGCCCCCCGCTGGCAGCCCCGGCTCACCCTGTCCAGCCAGGGATGTGAGCGATCGGACAGCTGGGGAGATTTATGGGGCCCGTAACAGAAGCTCTCTGGAGAGAGCCCAGGAACTGCTCGAGATTGGGCTGAGCTCCTGCATCTGCTGGAGATGTGGGACCAGCCCCGGGGCTGGCGGCTGTGAGGGGGAGCGGGTCAGCAGCTCCCCCCCGCCTCGTGGTCACCAGCAGCCTGCTTTCACTTTGGAACGATGATGAAAACCAATTTCCAAATGTCTTTTTTTTTTTTTTTTTTTTGTCTGAACGGAATTCTTGCTTTTCTGACAGCCCTGGCTGATGCTGGTGGAGCACAAAGGCAGGCGCGTGGAAAGGGGGCTCCCTTCCAGCAGTGCTGGGTGAAGGAGCTGTGCCTCCCCCCTCGCCCTCCCGCCTCCCAGATGGGATGGCATGGGGTGAGGGGGTCTGTGCCCCCTGCAGGAGATGGGGGCACCCCAGCACTGCTGGAAGCAAGCCCCTGGCACAGGAGCCCTGGTGAAGGGCTGCAGTTGTGCTCCCATCACCAGATACCAGTGCAGATGAGGCAGCCTCGTTACGGAGGAGCGATGGGGGTTTCCTTTCTCCTCCACCCCCCCGCTCCTCTCCATGATCATTCTTGTTATTCGCTTCCCCTCTTCTCTTCTCCTTTCAGTGCAGACGGTTTCACTGGGCAAATCCAAGCGAAAGGCTTGCAAAGAGGATGCTCATAAAATATTTATGGAGAACTGCGGTGAACACAAGTAGGATAATGAGGGTCTGTGGGATATGGGATGTGTCCAAACCAGCACAGTGAAGACCTCGTAAGAGGCGGAGGCAGGCGGTGGGAGCCATCAGTGAGTCCTGGAGGCTCTTTACTCATTTCCTTCGTGCACAGTGGCTGTGCTGCCACACGCTGCTGCCAGCTGGCTTCTCCTCATCCCCCAGCACCACACCGCCCCTCACTGGCATCCCCCTCCCAGCCATGCTGGGGGGTCTGTGCTGGCTGTGTCCACCCCAAAACCATTGCGTTGCCACCACCATGAGCCCTGGAGAAGGCCACGGTGTGGTCTGAAGTGCAGCAGGGAGCTCTCCTGGTGCCTGGATGTTTCCCCATGCTCCAGCCCCACAGCCACCCCGTGTGCTCCACACGGCTGTGCAATGTCAGGCATGGCAGAGGGATGGGCAGGGATTTTCCTCAGCACTGTGCTTTTATAAACTGCGAGGGGATGTGTCTGAACAGAGGCTCGCCTCCCTCGCATCCACCATGGTCCTGCCGTGAGGTTTCCCCGTGTAAAATCCCATATGCTCAGCTTTAAAGCACACAAAAGCCCAAGCGCTGCCAATGCCAAGAAGGGGCTCAGCGGCTCCGTGCGAGCTCCAGCGACGTGCAAGCTTATCCCGTCCTGCGAGCAGAACCAATAAACACCGAGTGGCCTACCTAAAGCCGGGGAAGGAACGCCGTTAAATCTCTGTCTTACAGCAGCTTAGCTAACTCCTTCTCGAGTTACTCAGGCAGCGGGTGTCCCACGTCTCCCACGGCTGGGATGCTGCTGACCTTTGGGCAGTCTCTCCGGGGTCTGACCCGTCTCCATCCCATACAGAGGGTCAGCCACGATCTGCTCGCGAGCCCCTCTGCCTGGAGGTGAAGAAGCCCCGGCTTACGCACCCTGTGCTCAGCCAGCCCCACAAAGGACCTTGAACTTCTGTTGGAGCTTTTACCCCCCTGGGAGCCATACCGCCGGCAGATGTTTGCTGTGATACAGGACACGACAGCTTTTATGAGTTGTCAGCTGGAACACAATATTTTAGGGTCTGGAGGTTAAAGTGGAGAAGCGCAGCTTGCACGCACGCCTGTGCCGGCAGCACAAGGCACCCCCAGCCTCTTTGCACCCCAAGCTCCGTGGCTGGGCTGTTTTCCCCAGTCCTGTCCCCTGGGACCAGCCCCATATCCCTGTGGGGACACCTCCTGCATGGCCAGGGACTCCTCAGCCCGTGGGAGCAGCACCCTGCCTCTTGCTGCTACCACAGCACCTGCAAGGCTCACGAGAGGGGTTTTCCATCTGGCCAGCAAAATAGCTCCCAAAGGGAAAGGGTGGGCACCCAGAGGGCGTTTCACCCATTCCTAATGGTCACCGTGGAGCTGTGAGCACAGCCACTGGATCTGTGCTCTGGGCAGGTGGAGGGATGGGGGGCACCACCACAGCCTGGCTTTCCCCAGCTCCCTGCCTTGTGCTCGGGAGGAATCCCCATCTCTATCACAACGAGGATCTCTGGGAAAAGGAGAAGCAACGTGATAGGGATGGGGACAGGGAAGCTGCTTCTTCAAGGCTGCTGCACGGGCAGTCTCTCATGGTTTAGGAGCCAGGACAGAAGCTTGGCAAGTGCTGGCTCTGCTGCTGTGTGCACCTGCCCTGCGCGGGGTCCCGCTTTGCCCTCTCTCCTCCACTGCCAACACCCTACAGGCACCAAAGTTCAGGTCCCTCAGAAGGGGGAGGTGTGCTCCAGACATGAAAGGTATTTCTGGGCATCTGGGGAAGCAGTGATTAATCTCAATTACATGCTCGAACGCTGAATAATCTGGGGCAGCAGATTGAGTTACGTTGCCCTCTTTCTGTGGCTATGGGAGGGAGGGTTCCAGCCTGAGGAGATGTTTGAAAGATGTTTTGACTACTGAAGTGCCAAACTTAACCCCAGTGTAACTGGGCTTGTGGTGGAACGTGCGGGTTGGCTTTTGCTTCCTGTGCCCTCCGGGCAGCCTGACGTTTACCACTGACCGTGCACAACAGATCCCACCCCAGCATGGTCTCCCCAAGGCCATTTCCTCTCTCAGAAAAAAAATAAAAATAAAGGCTGGGGAGGCTGATGCTGGCAGATCCCAGAAGTGACACCACAGCTGGATGGGATGGAGCTGCCCCAGGCAGCCACCAGCTCCTGCCAGTGTCCCCAGTCCCACCTGTGAACTGGGGGCATCGAACCCTCCCCTCTGCATGCCCTGCTGCGGGGTCAGGGCAGGTCTGGCCCAGCACAAGCCGTAACCTAACCGGGATCCCAGCCTTGGTCCCCAGGGGAAAGCAGCGGCTGTGGAGGGCGGTGATGAGTGCGGTGTGCGAGCACGGACAGACAGATTGATGGGTTCAATCCAGAGAGCCGCTCCGACTCCTCCCGTTATTTAACAGAGTCTTTTTCCCCAGACTCAAAAGCTGTTACTGATACACTGCGGGGACCAATAATAACCTAATCTCAATTATTGATGGACTAAACATGTCATTCCCATCATTCGATCAGGAACCTCGCAGGGATCGGCTGCAGCGAGGGTTCCTGGCAGGGAGATGAATGAAGGCAACCCCAAACCCAACAATAACATGGAAGAGAGCCGCAGCCCCTTCATAAAAGAACAGCATTTCCTTTACAAACAGCACATCCTCACAATTAACACTTTGTAAAAGTAATTATAACACCACCAGTATCTACCCAAGTCTGTTTCTTCTTACCACAAAGGTAAGAATTCACAGTAAGGCACCCTTTTCATACAGCCTGTTGTTCAATCTTAACAAATACTTAAACAATGAAAAAAACTCAGAAGCTCAAGTGCATGCAGGTAAGGCTGACTTTGAAGAACTTTTTTTTTTTTTTTAAGGGCTGGGAAGGCAGCTTAGAATCCATGTAAGTAACTTCACTGCAGACAGACAAGGTGAAGGCAGCACTCAAACTCCCCATCATGACACAACTGTAGAACCCAGGAACGCTTACCTGCCAGCTTCTGAACTTGAGTCACCACCAAACCACTTCCCGGTGAAGTAGTACCACCAGGGTTTTACTGCACTGAGAAGGCATCACCAGCATAGCTATCTCATGGAGTCTCTAAAACTCTTTCACAGAGACGGTTAAAAACATGGAGAAAAAGCAGACTACTGGGGAACACTGAGTCCATTTCACCATGACAGTAGAAAAGCACCCTAGGTAACCTGAGCCTCAAACCCTCCCAGAGAGACAATTCCTCCTGTAAGTCCTCGTGCTTCCTATATAGCAAAGGTCAAATGATCCCCACCTGGCAGATTTCACTTAACAAAGGTGGAGCCAAGAGACATTATGGAATAGGCTCATCTACCTGGCTTCAATGTTTTAAGGTCGATTGCTCCTTATTGCTAAGAGAAATAACCTGACAAGGGGCTTAGAGTTAGAGTTGACCTAATGAATTAACTACAAAGGGTGTGCATGGGTCATGTTTCTGTTAGTCATTCTGTGAGGAAAATTAGTACAGAGCCTGTTAAAATAAGATAAATAAAAGAAATAAATAAAAGAAAAAAGGAAATGACCTTAAAGGCAAAATTGCTGTCATGGATTTTCACCTGTCTAGTGTACAGGGTCTGGCTGGGATGTTTTGCCCACCCTCCTAGGGGGTGGGCAAAAGGAGGGCAATTGGGATCCTGGCGTGCATTCAAAGGAGCGTGGCCAGCAGGTCAAGGGAGGTGATCCTCCCCCTCTGCTCTGCCCTGGTCAGGCCTCACCTGGAGTACTGGGTCCAGTTCTGGGCTCCCTGGTACAAGAAAGACAGGGATCTCCTGGAAAGAGTCCAGCGGAGGGCCACAAAGGTGATACGGGGCCTGGAGCATCTTCCCTATGAGGAAAGGCTGAGAGACTTGGGGCTGTTCAGCCTGGAGAAGAGAAGACTGAGAGGGGATCTCAGTGTATATAAATATCTGAGGGGTGGGGGACAGAAGGATGTAGCCAACCTCTTCTCAGTGGTGTGTGGGGATAGGACAAGGGGAAATGGCTGCAAGTCAGAGCACAGGCAGTTCCACACCAACATACGAAATAACTTCTTCACAGTGAGGGTGATGGAGCACTGGGACAGGCTGCCCAGGGAGGTTGTGGAGTCTCCTTCTCTGGAGATATTCAAGGCCTGTCTGGATGCCTACCTGGGCAGCCTGCTCTAGGGAACCTGCTTTGGCAGGGGGTTGGACCCGATGATCTTTCGAGGTCCCTTCCAACCCCTACAGTTCTGTGATTCTGGAAACACACACAGCGTTTTCTGAGGTTTTCTCCAGAGAGATCACTCGAACCGTCCTCCGCTGCGATGCCGGAGTGCCCTTTGGGGTGCAGTGCAGCACACGGTTATCAGTGACGCTCTGAGAGGCTTTGGATGCGAGGTTAAAAATAAATGTATTCCCAGGGGGACCGAGTGAGGCTGGGGTGTAATTACCTGAGCTGGAACGGAGCCAGGATCTAACTTGTATTGCAAATTCTTTGCATTACTTTAGATACCTGCTAACGAAGTGATTATAAAAACCATATTTAGAGAAGATTAGGAGGTATGTAATAGATACACATACATAATTAGCCATAATAGATCTGCATTGATTACATTGCCGTTAATCCTCCTCTAAATATGTGCACATTAATTAGTCGGCATTTAACATATATACAATTATTTTAAGAACAGAAACAGTTCTGTTGGCGGGTGCAGCAGAGAACAGGGTATTTATTCAGCTTTTAGTATTTATTTCTTGTTTTGCAGCAGCACTCACATCGGGCCGTACATTTGTCGCACTGGGCCCTGCACAGAGAACAAAAAGCATCTCAGTCCAAAGTGCTACGGCATCCGCGTGGTGAAAGGCAATAACAAGTGCACATGAACGATCTTGCCAAAATATTATTTTTTATGCATAAAATATTTTCCTGTTACCATGTAACCCTGCCCTGGCTGCTGCCGCAGACCAGCTGCAGGGATGGGGCGTTACCTTCACCTCCAACCCCCTTCCTGCAAGAAGCCAGCACACAATCAGCCCCGGTTCTCAGGAGTGGTGCTGGTGGGCAGGATGGCGAGGGGATTTGGTCAATTTTGGGCCACAAGTGCCCAAATTTGTTCAGGAGCACGCTGCCCAAGCTCCTGTCTGCAGGGCAGCAAGGAGGCGCTGGGGCAGAACCTGGTGCCTGGGGAGCCGGGCAGGGGCTGGGGGTGCCAGGAGGAGGTGCAGGGCCACCAGGGGCTGTGTGGGCATGTTTTTTATCCACATATGGGTTAGTGGCAGGAGGGGTGCTGGTCCCTCTCCCAGCTGGCCCTGGCATGCTGCTGGTGCTGTGAGCTGCCCCAGAAACCCTCGGCGTTAGCAGCCCGGCAGCGCCTGATGGCTAAAGCAGCTTGTCTCCCCGGGCATGAATCATAACACAGATCCCGTTTCATACAACATAAAAAAACTCTCTACAAATCCAGCAATTAGCCTCCAATTTGCTTTCTCCATTAATGGGAAATGGGGTCTCTCTGGGATGCTCTGACGAGACCCTGTTTTCTTCATCAGTTCAAAACCTTTCCCTCCTATTTATTTTTTTCACCCTTCCCCTGAATGCATTTCCCACCACAAAAACGTTTTTCAGATCTCGGCAATTATTTATTCCACCTTTTCTGTCACATCTTCGCAGAAATGGATGTCCCTGTTGGGACTGGAGGGAGATGAAAGGCTCGCAGCCACGTGGGGACGGAGCAGGCTCGCACACAGGCACGCAGCAGCAGCAGCATTTGGGCAGTGGCCCCAAGTCCCACAGGGCCACGCAGGGCCAGAGGCACAGGAGGGAGCCTGCGGGGCTCAGAGCAATTAGGGACTTCTGACTTGGGGACAAAGGGACAAGAAAGAGAGGAGCTGGCTGGGTTAGGCTTTTTTCTTCTCCCCTCGCTCCTTCCCTTCCTTTTAATGGCAAGTCCCTGGAGTCCCACCGGTGTCCTTAAAAATGGAAATCCCTCCCTGCCCTTTATGCCGAAGCATGAATGTCACGGAGCAGATGAAAAGGAGCAAAAGGCAGCACTGCTCCTGGCGGCGCTGGGTGTTGCAGGGGCACCGAGCTAATGAGGGATGGAGGCATGGAGAAGGGATGTGCTCAGGGGTAAGTGGTGGGGGTTTCCCCTCCTCCTCACTGGGCAGCAGGCTGCAAACACCAGAGCTGGATTGGAGGTGCCAGAACCAGGCCAGACCAGTGCAGAAGACACTCTGTGATGGGAAACACCACAGGACTGTCCCCAATGATGGACAACCCATGCAAAGTCCTCCCGATTTCACGTGCCAGGGACCTGGGTACGGCGTGGGGCTGCGCAGCCTTACCCACTTATGGTAAAAGCTTAAACGCCTGCTGTAGGCTGGGGCAAACCCCAGGGGAAATATCTCAGCCTCGTACCCACTGAACAATGCTATTGAAAATGGAAACAGCTTTGTAAAGAAGCCTTCCTTTGTTTTCCCTCTTTGTTCCTCGCAGCCTTGCAGGGGGCTCGGGGAAGGAGGAGAGGAGCAGTGTCCCCCTCGATGGTCAGTTTTGTGCTGTGCTGGCAGCCACGTCCCTGCTGCAGGCCCATCGAATGCTGCCGCGACCCGCCGGTGCCACAGCACCACGGGACAAACCCTGCCCTGAATGTGGCTCAGGAAAAAAAAAAGCAAAAATCCTTCAGCACGGGAATTACTTGAAAGCAGCGAGGGGCAACTGGGCCCGCAGGTAGCTTTTGTGTGTATGAAGTTCTCCCCTGGAAACGTTATTAGAATATCACAGTCTAAAGGGCTTGAGAAATCAAACGATTTGGGAGCCGACAGGAGCTTTTGTCAGAAGCTCAGCTCCTGGACGGCTGGAAATCCGTCGGTCACACATTCCTGTCCTCCGCCGGCAGCCTGTGTGCCCGGAGGGGCCGCGGGCCCTGCAGGTTCCCAGCCCCACACTGCTCACGGGACGGTGTCGGGAGCCCGAGCGAGCTGGGCTTTGGCGCTGGCTCCCGGCTCTGGGCTTCTCCAGCCAGCACCAGGTGGGACGCGCCTGAATAGAAACTGCTAGTTCATCAAAACTGAAGTATTTCATTAAAACGCTTTAGTTTTGACAAGCTTCTGCCAGCAGGCCCACCTGCAGCTCAGCGACCTGCTGGCTTCCTCCTGGGGCCTCATGGAGAGGGGGAAAAGCACCGATGTCCCCGGCACAGGGCTGGGGGAGCCTCCAGCGGGACGAGCCAAGGGGCAGGAGCCCGACACCCCCGGACCTCAGGCTGAAAACCTGCTCAAGGCTTTTCTTCTGCTGTCAGGTTCAGAAAGGCCAGATCACAGCACTGCACCTATGAGGAAAGACTCTTGTGGCCTGTGTCCTTCTCCTTATTGCCTCCCAGGCACACTGCAGCACGGCATGGCACGGCACAGCATGGCACGGCACGGCACGGCATGGCACAGCACGGCACGGCACGGCACGGCATGGCACGGCACGGCATGGCATGGCACGGCACGGCATGGCATGGCACGGCACAGCACGGCCCCCTGTCGGGTGCACCCCAAGGGATTCACCAGAGGTGGAGTCTGCCACTCACTGAGGGGTCCACGTGTGAGCAGCAATTATCTCCTCACCACCCAACTCACCTTCCACTTGAAATACCCAGAGGCGCTGGTTTGCAGCGAGAGCTAATGAGCAGATTATTTCAGCATTTTAAAACTCAGCTGTTTTGTAAATTGGGATTACCCAACGAATCCAAGAAGACTTTTTTTTTTTTTTTAAAAAAAAATCACTTTCTTCTCCACACCTCAGCAGCCTCTCTAATAGCTGGCACTGCCATGCTTGAGGCCTCGTTTTTCACACTCTCCTATCTCTGAGGCATCACTCCCAATTAACATCAACCTCCCCCTCCTGCTCCAGTTCCCAGTACCAAGGGGCTGGGTGTCCCCATCCCACCCGAGAGCAGCGTGGGGCTTTTGGTGTTACCCCAGCCTAGGCTGGCTCACTCCCATAGAAAAGGTGGCAAATCCAGGCTGGAAATCCTTGCTGGCAGCCCACTTTTCCTTTTATTTTCTTGGAAATGGGAATGGAAAAGTGCTAGCACCTTGCTCCACCACCACAGTTTTCATGGCAGGCAGAATCCTTGCAGATCCCTGCACCCTGCTGGGTGTCCCAAGGTTGTCCCAAATCTTTCCTTGGGGTAAGTAAAATCCAGTTATTTATTGCACTGGCCTCGAGCACCCACAAAGCAGTCAGTGCAGGTTCTCCAGGCAGAGTCCTTTTACGGGAAAGTTGTGGAGACTCAATTTTCTGCCAGGTACAGCGTGTCACCTCCATCCCTAAACATTGCAGGTTTGGGGTGTTTTGGTCACCTCTCTTTCTGCAGGGAAGGCACCAGGAGAGGAGCTGAGGAGCCGTCAAGAAGAGGGACCTGATGGTCGGAAACGTGGAGCTGACACAGCTTGGCCTTGGAGGACCTTCAAATTTCGGGCAAGAAGGTTGCTGTTAGGCAGGAAAAACATTAAAAGCAAAGAGGGGTTCAAATAGCTGACACTTCTTAGGCAATTACCATTAAAGTGAGCGTTGGCACTGGTGATGGGAGAGCTGATGGGAACATGCTGTTTTGGTCAGCACCTCCTCGCCGCGCCGGGTAACTGGAGCCCCGTCCCTCCTCCCGCGGCAAGCCTCCGAGACAAGCTCCAGTGAAAAGAACCGATTATTTCCCTCCCTAAATTCTTGCGACTGCAATTTTCATTGCCTCCTGTCCAAAGCGGTTCTGGTGCAATGTTAACGTGATGGACGGCAGCTGTATTTCACCCAGCTTGACTTGTTTGCAAGGGCCCCGGGTTTGTCAGGTCTGTCACATGCTTTGAAATACAATCCTCGGGAACCAAACTAGGAAAGCTTACGGTTGTTTCCTATTCCTCTTCTCACCCAAATATGTACAACCTCATCAGCATTACGCTGCAGCTGGTTGAGAAATTTCCAAGAGAGCGTTGTTTTGTTTTGGTTTTTGTCAGAAAATGTTGAGCTGTCAAAACCAAGGATTTGTGTCGAAATGTAATCGTTTTGACGAAACTGTCATCGGGGAAAGTCTCTCAGCTCTGGGATGGAAAGCCTGATCAAAACCAGACAGATTGAGGGAGACAACCAGAGCCGCGACAGCCGGCAGCGCGGGGCGGAGGAGCCAGCACCGGCTGGGTCGGGGCCGTGCCACTCGGGGACCTCAGGGTGCCCACGGCGCAGGGCGAGCGCTGCTCCCACCTTGCCTGCTCTGCAAAACCATCCTGAGACAGAGCGCACCGGGGAGCTCAGCCTCCGTGAGCCCGCTGCGTATCACCAAGGACATGGTGAGGGTGCCTAAAGATTTTCTTTCTGTCTATTCCGTGTCCCCAGCAAGCCCCCAGAAGGTCTGGGCTTTCTCCAGCCGGGTGTTGGCACCGCGCTGTGCTCAGCTCCTGCTCCCACCGGCTGCAGGGTTGATGTGAGGTGCTGAGGGCAGGGCGTGGGGGAGCCCCTGCCTGTGGCATTCGGCTGGGCTCCAGCACCAGGGTGGCCACGGCTGCTGCTCTGCTCATCGCTCCGGCCTGGGCTCCTTCAGGAACTGGATCGCAAAATGCAGCGGCGGTGATATTTGCTCTTCCAACTAGCACTTGCACACATGGAAAGAATTGATTTAATCTCTTGCTATCCACCAGCAAGGCATCCAAAGCAGAGGTGAATGCTGACCCCAAGCGCCCCCAGCCCGGGCTCCAGGTGGGGTTATCCATCGCCCCCCTCCTGCAGCACAGCAGCATCGGGATGCTGGGGATGTGGTCTGGGGTTTTGGGGGACTCACGAGTCTCTGATCTCAGCTGTCTGCAGGGACCAGGTGGTTTCTCCTCCCAGCACTGCCCACCTCTGCCTGCCCACGTCCCAGCACTGCGAGCACGCAGAGCCCACGGAGCCGCACAGCATCCGGACACATCTCCGCTCCTCCCCCTGGGACTGCCGGTGCTCTCCTGTTACCTCTCCTTCCTGAGCTTTGCTCAGGGCCATAAATAACAGCAGTTCCTGCCTGACAGTACGGAAAGCCACAAAGCCAGCGCGACAGGTGCATACCCGCAGAGGGCTCTGGCCCCTCTCCATGCACCCGCTCAGCTCCTCGGGGGCCAGATCCTGCCGCCTGCGTCTGCGGGTGCACAGCGCCCGTCTGAGCGATCTGCCAGACGAGGACATTAGCAATGAAAGAGGCAATTGGCTTTGCATCCGCCGGGTCTCGGTTTCACCATCTGTAACCTGGGGTTAATGATGTCTACTTCAGGAAAATGCTTGAAGATCTTTGGATGAAAAAATGTGTGCAAGCGCAAATTATCCTGCTTATGACATGAGGAGGTTTATGGCCTGCATGGCTCTTAATAATGCATTAATTATGCTTACAGTATTAAAAGTGTTCTGTGATTAAGCAAATAATTACAGAAATAAATGAGTAAATGGGGCACTGGGTGCAGGGCTGGTTACTAAGCTTATCCCATTCTACACATTACATTACAAAACTGTGTTTTCAGTTGCTTACGGCTCTGCCAAACTTTAATTGTTTGAGATGAAATTTTCCATGCTGCTGTCTGCCTCAAGCTAAATTTTTCTGGGGAGTTTCAGCCAAAATGGTTAATCTGCTCCTGAGAACATAGCTTGTCAAAAATATGCTGAATTCTGGCAACTGTTTCTTTGCGACACTCTCATTCTTCATCAGGGCTCTTCACAGCAGAGCTTCAAATCTGGGAGGGGGCCTTAGTGCCGGGCATGTGCCCCCCAAGTCCTTCTGCCTGCAAAACAAGACTGAATGGGGCCACCTGCCAAGCCTTGAGCAGGGACAGCTTGCACCTTGCCCATTCAGATTTGCTGTGTCTTTGCCCTTAAAATGCTGTGTCCTGGTGAGGACAGGGGTTGTGAGCCAGGAGCAGGACGGATGGGCTGGGATTTAGGCACCTGAGCACACCGTGGGGACCAGTCCCCAGCAGGGAGCCTGCTGCAGAAGGCCAGGGGACTTTCCCTGATGCTCATACGTCTTGAGTGCGCCTCTTTTCTTGGGTATTCAAATCTGAGATCACAGGAGAGGATTTCAGCAAGGCTGAACGTCTGTGGCCTGCTGGCTGAGCTGCAGGCAAGCCCTGGATGAAGGACATTGTGTACAAACACCACACCTGTGTGATGAGGCCATTAAAGCCTGGGATTTCTGACTTACTTACAAGGAGGGTGGGCAGGAGAGGGTCTTGCATTAAATACAACTTCAGTCCATCTCCTCCTAACTTCTGCGTCGCTGCTGCCGCAGTGGAAGTCCCGCAGCGCTGCTCGTGTGTGAGAAGCACCGCAGAGTTTACCTTGCCAAGGCATGGCATGCGTTCAGCTCCCTCCCCAGCACATTTGTCCCTGGCTCCTCCCGCTATTGAAGGACACTCAGGCACTTGCTTGCCATGATATTTAGTGGCCAGAAAGTCCTGCGTGCGTAGCAGCATTTCTCATGCCCTGTAAGGGAATGTGTTATCAGTTTCAGGAGCTCTCCATGCCAGGAAGCTGTCAGCATGGTTGTAATCACACTGTTCATGAAAAATCCTCCAAGACATCCGCCTACATTTTAACTCATCTTTTTTTCTTTTGGCATTTTTCTCTTTCTGACCAGAAAGTCATGTTTTGGACAAAAATCTGGCAACAGCACTATCTGTCTCTCCGAGCGGATCGGTTCTTCCCTCTTCGCAGGTGGCTCCATTTCCTCTGCTGTGTCACATCTGAACACAGACACCCAGGGAATGCTCCGTGTTTGTCACACACATGCCCTGGGAGTTGTTTTTGACACCGTTTATGACAGAACGTCGTAAGGAGCACACGATCCTTACCTGTGGTGGCACTGAACACCACCGAGCAGCACAGCCGGCAGGCACACGGCTCCCGGTGCCCACCTGGAAGGAGTCGGGGTTCCTACACCCCCTTGCCATGCCCATGGGGGGCCCTCTGCATCCTGACTGGCCCCACTCTGCCTCCCTCTCGCCTGGAAAACAAGACCCAGAGCCCTGGGAGTGGTGAAGCCACTCAGCCAAGCAGCGCTGTGGGTTCAGTTTGCCTTTTGAATGCAGCCAGCTGCGGACTCGCAACTTCAGCCGGAATAATTCCACCTCATCCTGGCAATATTTTGCCATTTTCATAGCATACCTTTTGTGCAAATGCATATTTAAAAGAAATAAAATAATAATTAAATCTCACTAAAGCAGCACAACTTTCTGCCAGCAGGTGTGGTGCTGTATTTTCAAGTAGGGAACTTGTTCCATAAGCAGCTCCGCGAATATGTCCCTGTGCTTCACATATCTGCAAAGGCAGCTGGGGCTTCTTGGTCAAAAGAATTGGGGCTTCTTGGTCATTTCTTTATTTCCTGAGACTGTTTTCTGCTTTATTTTCCTATATTTCAACCAGCTTGCATGCTAGCCCCTTTGGTGTTACCTGGAACTCGTCTCCCCCTGTGCATTGCTCACCTCAGTCTCGTGCTGTGATTTCGCCCACCAGAGACAGTGCCTTTTACAACGTGGGGGTGGGAGTGATGTAGGATTAACTGAGTGGTCCTGGAGAGCATTTCTGGTAGGATGAACTCACACCAGCAATCTGCAAAGTTCATTTTCTGCCAAAAATTCCAGTTACCAAAAAACCCCAAAGTGCTCATAGGAATAGTTGTGGAAAACGGAGGAAAATAAAAGCCTCCTAAACATTTTCAGAGGGCCTGATCCAATGCTCAGGCAAGTCACAGAGTGTCTTTTTTTGTGACTTCAGATGAATTTTGTCAGCTTCAGCAGGAACTTGAGAGTTTTATTCATTAAATATTTTGAAGGATTCTCCTAGCTTTATCCATGCACAAATGGCTTCAGCATCTCCAATGATCAAATCAGCCTGTCAGCATTGTTTTTATTTATTTATTTATTTATTTTAAAAAAACATTCAGGTCAGCTATTAAAATACAAATTGAGAATATTTTTACAAGGGTTTTGTTCTCACACCAGGCTGGCAGTCAAGCTGGCACTTCTTTCATTTTTACCCCTCTATTACCTCAATGTAGCGTGTCCATCAGTTTGCTCTTATTTATTTTTGCAGACTATTTTAGACAATCTGCTGAAGGAATCTCACTCAGCAATGAGTGTTGACCTTGAGCTGCTCCTTTTCTTTCTCTCTCCTTTATTTAAGAATGTGCAATGAATTAAGACATCACTTATATCCGCGCTCTTTGCAGGCAACAACGGCTCTCCAATCGAGCATGAATGGCAGGTCTGCGGGCAGCGCTGTCCTGGAAATGTGATATTATGGAAACGAGAGGTGACCTGCTTACAGACAAAACAATGTGACGGGAAGAGTCCTGCCTCCCAAATGGGACATGACAGCCATCCCCCTGGGGCCGCGCCACTCGCTTTGCATCAGCAGCCCTTGACGGGCGGGGAGGGGGACACAAGGACCACAGGGTGCAAGTGCTCGTCCCCATTCTCCCTTCCAAAACCCAACCCCTGTCTTTTCCTCCCTCCCTCCAAGGTGAGTCCCAGCAAGCCATGGGTGACCACAAGCTGTGAATCCTTTGATTGCCTTGAAATCCTTCTTCTCACATCACTAAAACCCCAGCGGGGGGGTGCGGCACTGCTCACGATGCTCCAGCCCCAACAGGGATGGAGCCGGGGCAGGAGAGATGCAGGATGTGGCCACCCACACCCCCCGCACCCTGTGGGGCCAGGGAACTCCCTGCCAGCTCCACAGCCAGCCTGGGGCTGGGACAGCCTGAGAAACGTCTGTGCCAGGGCCTGCAACCAAGGGAGCTCGGAGATTTGGGTTTAATCACATTTATTTGGGGGGGAGAAAGGGAAATTCCTCAAATCTCTTTTTTTTTTTTTTTTCCAAACCTTTCTATATCTGGTCTCAGAGGTAACAAGGAATTAGCACAAAACCATACCACACAATAATAACTGTATTCAGCATGCTCAGAAGCTCATGGGAACCCGAGGAACAAAAGGAATCCATGGCATTACGCGCGGAAAGGCCCGTGCTGTCCCAGGCCTGCTGCGGTTCCTCTTCCCCTCTCTGCCTCAGCACTGGAGGAAAAACCTGTCCCAGGGGATCCACCCCAGCCCAGTTTAGCCCAGCCCAGCCCCGTCCCCAGCGCCGGAGCCCGGCCCTGCAGATGTGATCAATAAAGCGCACGGCTATCGGATCGCCCCGCTTTGATTTAAGGAGTTTCCCCGCCACCAGGGACTGAGCACTCGGGACGTTTGCATGGAAACAGGATCTGTGTTTAAGTCATTAGCCAAATGCGCTGCAGGTGGAGGCAGGCGCAGGGCTGGGGCTATGCCCAGGCGCTGCCCCTGCCCCACACCGGGCTCCCCCCAGCCCCATGCATCGCACCCAGCCCTGGACACATCCCTGGGGGGGGACCCGGTGAGGTGTCCCTGCCACCACCTGCTGCCTGCACCTCCTGCATTAACCAACAACCTACCCAAGCACAGCAAAGTGGGGCTACCCTCTCCCCCTTCCCTCATTGTGTGGAAATCACGTGAAAACCTTGGTGTAACCCAAAAGAAACCCTCCGGGGGAAGCTACCCTAAGGGCATGGCTGGGTGTGCCAGCTCGGCAATGAGCTGATCACCTGCTCTGCCACGGGGCATTTGGCACCTCCGGCACCATGCTTGGGGCTGGGGGTGGCTGGGGACCCGCACGTGGCTGCCCCCAGCCTTCCTCTCAGCCCCAAACCCGCCACCACCATCCCGTCTTCTGAGTGGCCTTGAGTCTTCAAAGAGAAAGGGGAGGGCGGGGGAGAAAAATCCACAGAGGTTCCTCCTAAAAAATTTAAACAAAAATATCTGGTCTTGGCTGATGTTAAAATCGGAGCATTTCATTAAAAGGCTGCAGGGCTTTTAAAGGCAAACTCTAAGCAGCGCCATGAATAATGTAGGCTCCATTCAGAAGATGAGGGTTTTAGCACATCCATAATACATGGGGTCAACCTGGGAAGACGCCGCTAATGCACGGGAACGCAGGAGGCAGCGGCCCCGGCTCCTCTCCGAAAGGAAAACAAACCGAGAAGTTTTAGGAGCTCTCCCACCAGCTGGGCGCTCTGGGACACGGCGAGACTCCTAGGGGGTTTTAAATCCTTTTTATTGGTGTCTTTCTCAACTAAAATAAACTTGGTAATCTCATTATGAGGCTGGGGGCCGATCCAAGAGCGCTGGATATGGCCCGTGCAGCTCTGTAAATAAGGCTCAGGCTGCTGGCTGTCGGGGCAGGGGCAGCTCCGAAGTGCTGGCGTGGTGAGGATTTGCTGCCCGACCCCATGGCATTGCGAAGCCCCAAAGCCACAGGCTGGGTGCGGGGGGCCAGCTCTGCCCCCAGCCCCGCCGAACGCCCCCCACATTCCCAGCCACGGTGGCGAGCGCGGGATGGGGCCCGGTGCGAGAGTGTAATGTGTCTGCATCGT